TCCCAGGTTTCTATTGGTGATCTAACAATGACTGATTGGTGATTTCAAATGAGTAGAAACACTAATCTCCATAAGTTTAATTGAAGTTAATTTACCTATGTTTTTTTAATTTAGTAACTTTTACAATGAAATATAACCGTAGTAAAATTAAATGTCAAGTAACCATATTAAAATCTGTAATCAGTGATGTTGTCTATTTAGATGTACATATACCATTTTTATTTTTTTCATCGGATAGTGAATAAATGTATAAAAATACAATCAAATTGAATTTTGATTAAATTTTACAGATATAAAAAGAATTAACTGTAATCCAAAATGGTTTGTTTTTCGGGAACAGATGAAGGTTAGACCAAAAATACATTAAGGCATTAGTTACCCGTATAGTTATTTCTTCAGTTAATCCTTTTTTTTCAACATTGAACCAGCAATTAATTGAGCCGCTAAATTTAAATATTTCATTATTTTGTGAAATCGAACAAATGAGAAATTGGTGATGATCTTTGTGGTGAATTAACACTAATCAGTTAGTTCACATCTACTAGATTACCTATGATTAACTCTATTACCTGATATTTATCTGTTTGAAATCATCAAGTTAACACACACACACACAAATTATCATTTGAAATCAGTTCCAATTTGCTGACCTTACTTTATCCTCTCTTTTCATGTTCTTTTTTCCTCTATATTTCATTAAGATTAAATTCACAAAATATAAAATGTTAGACAAAAATGAAATTTGAAGTATTCTTCTTCTCTTTTTTTGTTTCATTGTTCTAAATTTAATTGTCTTGAGAATTAAGAAATAGCAAAAAAACCAAATGACAATGCTGAACGAACATCAATAGTCTTAGAGTTCATTTAGGTTTTTAAAGAGAAACAAAATGGCATTATTCATTCATTTCAAATTGAGTTTCGTTTCCCACTCTCTTTATCTCCTTGTTTTCAGATTTATTTGTATTTTTATCATTTAAATTGATTTAATTTAAATTTTTTTGTCCACAATTTTTTTTCATAACAAATCGATCATTCTATGATCTAGTCGAAAATTATTGTGTATATAACGTGAAATTAAATCATATATATATCTATTTAAATATACAAACAAACAAATATAAGCGTTTCCATCTGTTTGTTAATTAATTAAACAACAACTCAGTGACTACTAGATGTAACTAGTGCAGTAGATTTAATTATTATAATTTTGTGACATCTTGATCCTGATTATGTGGAATATTATCAATAGGATTTATCTCTATGCTTTAAAATTTCATCATTTCATCTTTTTCGATTAGTTTTTTTAAAAAAAGAAGAATTAATTTCTGTTCAGTTCAATGTGAAAAAAAAAGAGAAACATTTAAAGATTAATCAGATTTGTACAGTGACAATTAAAATCTATATCTATATCATTATTGTTGTACACAGATGGGAATCGAATATTTGTTGAATTAGTGAATAGACGATTTGTTTTAATGATGTTATCAATGAACATTGTAGAAATCTGTTGCTTCAGTTCAATTTTTTTATTTTTGTAAATTAAAAAAAACTAACTAATATGGGAAATTTTCTTAATACCTTGACTTAATAATCAATCGTTTCTATTTTCAAAACATATACTGATAGTCACATGTCAGCAGCATGGTAATATATTGATCATAAACTTTGAGAAACAAATTCATCGCATCGTTTGATCGAATAAATAATTATTTTTTGTAAAATGATGATTATTTTGTTTCATACTCTTGGATTTAAATGCGCAGTACTATGTATCACAGGATATATATATGTAAATCAGAAATAACTCTTATTTGAGGATCTTAGGCACAACTAGATGTGTGTACTGATAATAACAACTTGCCAGATTGTGCTCACATCTGTTTTCGAAGTACATATTTCATGAATCGAACAAACGGAAGAGACTGAAAGTTGTTGATATACTGCGTTCTCTGAGCATAAACAGTTTCAATATGAAATCTGGACAGTATTATCAGTTTTATCTTCAAATATGAAGTAGTATGTGAGAATTATTTGATAGGTGAAAAAAAATCAAATATTCCTATGACAAAATTCTTTACTAATCTCTATGATGAGTATTCAAACCCTCAGGCACAACATTACTCATAAAATTCTCCTAATACAAATAACGTTTTATACCTCTATTGAATTTTCCTCACTATTACAGTGTTTAGTAAAGAATTTTATTATCACCCAATGAAAAAAGTATTATTTGCATTTGTACAACTTTGAAAATAAATTCATCGAAAAGAGAACTCTTCTTCAATAGTGTATAAGACAACAATGTATTTTTCATAAATAAACTGTCTAGTTGACATAAACACAAATTTTCTCCTATCGCTTTTAATTACTTTGGTTAAAGAAACTTATAGACAATAATTCATTGTACATTAAGCTTCGGTGGAATTTTAGATATAAGTTGTATTTTGGGGCGGAGTTTTGGAGGTCTGTGTTTTTACACATTTGAAATCATCAATCAATCATTGTTAGACCAACATTAGAAACCTGGAATCACTGGATGGCCGACAAGTCCTGTTATGGGACTCATCAGCAGTGCAAATCCACGACTCATGCACCTCGCAGGATTCGAACCTGGGACCTTCGGTACTGTGGGCGAACGCCTAACCGTCAGACCACTGGGTTGGCATCTAACGGTGTTAATGTCTAACTCTGATTGATCTAGGGATATTGCGCGACCTCACCTATTTGTCTTTGGTAGTTACTGCCTACACCCGACAGGGTTAAACTCTATTGGTCACGTCTTCTCAACTAGAACTCCGAGAATTTCCTCATGAAACTAGTCACTAGTGAGCACTGTTACGATATTTTGGGGCAGAGTTTTGGAGGTTTGTGTTTTTACACATTTGAAATCATCAAGTTGTATTGTAATCTTTAGGTTTGTTTCTATTTTTAAAATCATTCATTTCGCTTTATAGCTTTATTGAATGCTGAATTGTGGAGAATAAATTTTAGCAAAAAAAATGCACACGAACAAATGACTTAAATTATTCGTGACACATTGATGGTAACGAGAAATAAAAATGGTTTCAATGCCCATTATTTCGAAATATCAATATCAATGAATAACATACGAAAATAATCATTTGATTTTAGATGTAACCAATTCATTTTTGAATCGCAGATCACTTACTTCAAATAGGTTATTCGTTATATTTTTTCTAAATTTGCTAAAAGTATCATGACATTCAAAACTACCTGAAATGTTGTGTTGACTGATAGTGAATATTTACCAACCATTTATAACTCATACCTACCATGACTGATATCATTTAACTTGATTCGAATTTCTGCAATAGAAAATTAGAATTTATCGATCTATTATCATAATGTTAATCAGTAATTTTAAATAAGAAAAAAAAAACATGCAAATACTAATAGTAATAGTAATAATAATAATTCCAAATCAACTTCACATATGATTGGTTAAATACAGAAAGAAAGTAAGAGATTTTTAAAGAGATCCAATTAGATTTATATGCGTGCGGACATAAACTAGTTGTATTCATGTGTAATTCTTTGTACTGTTAATCTATTTAAAACAACATTTAAAGGATAGAAAATGTAAATAGAAATTTTGTGTTTTAACCGCTGCATGAATTAACCAATAAAATAATAGTAAATATAGGTTTATTGTCTAACTTAACAAATGAAGGTTGACTAGGGTAGGTTGATTAGATTACTAGAAAGCTATTTAGAAAAAAAAATAGAGTGGGAGGAGAAATTTGAAGTAAAAAGGTAAGAGATATAGTTGATCGTCCTTATACAAAAAGGGAACTAAGAAACCCATAGAAGTGGCACTTATCCAACTCTCTAGTGACCAATTGGAGAACCATTAAACATCCTCTTCAATTTGTTTAGAAGCTATTCGCATTCATCAATTGTTGTTAGTGGTTGTTTATATACAGCTTTTTTTTAAAACATCCGCTTGATTTCATCTATCGTGAATTACGAACATTGTCTACTCAAGATATCCTCTTGACAATTTCCATTTTTGATGAGAGAGTGCTTATTTTTTCAAAGTGAAGTGATCCAAGAATAATAACAGGCGTATTAAAAACGGGATTTTTCTATCAGAACGATTCCATCTCTCTCTCTCTCTCTCACTCGCTCGCTCACTCCTTATCAACTCACGTATTTCAAGTTCACAAACACAGACGAACAAAGAATATGCAATTATTTTGAAGTCATATCTATCTAACAATACCAAAATCAGTATTTCCACCCCTACGAACAAAATCACATACACACGCACAGTGATACATATAGATTATCCACCAATCGAGCAAGGACATCTATTTTTTTGGTTGTTGTATGTGTTTCATTGAGAATAACAAACAACAATTATAATCACAAAAATAAATAAATAAATCATAACTTGAAACAATTCAAGTGATTCCAGTTCAAGTAGTGCTCATTCGCCTTATTCACATTGAAACTACTAACAAGAGAATTCGTTCTTAGTAGAGAGAGAGAGAGAGCTTTTTTTTTAATTCTGCAAAAACAATAACTACAATTTTTATTTTTTGAAGAGTACTTTTCGCCCTCTTTTACTCTCTCCTGCATGCCCACTCTGGCACTCAACACATTATTCAACGGCATTTCAAAAAAAAAATAAGAAAAATTGTAGTGATACTCAATTAAACACTTAAAAAGACTTTTTGAAAAAAAAATTTTTTCTATATCATCAATTGGGAGACTATTGATACAATAACAGGAAGAAGAGGAAAAAAAGGTATATACACACACAATAAAAGTATCTACTTCTATTTCTTTCTCAAGTATAATCAACACAATCATCCTCTTCATTGTCATCATCCTCATCATCATCATCAAGAATATTCTTCATTAAAATAAACTTGAAGGGTGAAAAGTGGCGAAAAAGCACAGCGACGATAAGAATATCAATAATAATAATTTTCAATTTTATCTTACCGAAAACCTCTTGAAATTTTACTAACACTATGATGGATCCACAATTATTGTAAGTTGATTATATTCGATTATGACAATATATATATAGATATATATAGATATATATTGACTGAATACTATGTAACTAGATTACACAACAATTGTTCATTTTAAATTTGTATTCCTACTTGAGATTTGAATGCAAGATATACATAATGAACTCTATGTACTTTTGGTATAGTAAATCGATATTATTGATGTATATATATATATATGTGTATAAGAAATAAATTATATATAAGGATCCATACCCATTGAGAGACTGATACAATACAATGAGAATATTTTAGGTTACATCTTTCATTCTCTTCAATCAATAATTTAAATATGTTTAACTCAGATAATCATAAGCACACGTCTAATATTAACGATTTTTAACCATATTGTAAGAAGTTCGATGATTCAGACTATCCGATCGTTTGAATAAATATAGGCGATAACCGGTTAATTAAAACAAATCAGTCTTGTATAAACAAGACTCACACAAAATTTGCAGAATGAAATGTGATTAATTGAAGTGGTTTTTGTTTTATGCCTAAAATGAACCTCTACAATAGTGTGTTGACAGTTTAACAATTACACTTAACTATTATAAATGAATAAGTCATTACATTCAAGACAATTGAAATCTGCATCAACAATAGTAAATTTGTGCATCACAACATAATCAATAATGTTAACTTTCTATAACTTGAGTTTGCTTAAGTTCATTTCAACAACGTGTATCTATGAATCGTAATAGCATACATATCGTACTGCAGTGATTACATACGTAAAAGTTTTAGCACTACATTTGTGTAGATCCACAGCTGATCAATTGAACTCGATCAGCTTTTTAAAACAATTAGCATACAGGACATGATTCACTCCTCAGGGACTACTCAATTTTAAATACATCTCAGTCTAAGAGGAAGTCAGTCGCTGCCAAGATAGATCAACGGTAATTTCTCTGAAAACAAAGTTAGATGATACTAGGAAAGATCCTTTAAGAAGCATTAGTTTCAGAATAGCATAAAACTTAGGTCCAAGGTTTGTTGTTAACTACTCCAAACATCCTTTTTTATGTCTATATAGTGCATGTAAAATCGAGTGATTTAGATTAGTGACAATCTAATCGAAAAAATTCCATTAGCAGTAAGAAAGATATTCATTAATTAATCAATTATGGAAAAATTCACTGATTATTTTCGGCTTTAAATTTTTAAGCTAAACACCGTTCCATAATTTATAGTTTCCAAGTCCGTTCATTGTTTTGTTTTTTAAGTATACTTTTAATATTAATTATTCATTATCAGTGAATAAATTTTATTAATGATGAAATTTTGTTATTCTCTGCCACTATACTGCTAGTAAGTATTACAGTTTAAACAGATTCACGTTGTTTATCATAGAAGTTCTATAAATTGTCGATAATATATGTATCCGAATTACATTATTCAGATAGATATTCCTAGTTTAGTAACGCATAAAATCATATATTCAAAGGGATTTTCATTACAGAATAAATGAATAATGACTGAGCAGTGTTGTGCTTGCTGAAAACCTTGTATGCCTAAACCTTTGGGTCATCCAGAATATCTAAATAAAGACAATAATTTTAAGAAATTTTATTTGAAATTACGTTTTAATATACATTCACGTTTGTCTCTTCAATAGTTTCAGTTATGCATCATGAAATAAAGACAATTTAAGTAAAATATTGAGTCATACAGATTCATCGCTATAAAGCAATTTGATGAATAGAATTTTATAAATACTAATAACATGAAACTGGTCAATGCAGATACTTATTTGTTTCTAATTAATTTCCATTGAACATTTAATAGAGCTCAAAGTTTCAATATTAACGAGATATCAAATAATCAAACAAATAATTTAAAATTATCTACAGAACATTTAAATGAACATTCACCACAAACAAATGATCTAACTGGAGGATTTCTATCAAATCGTTCATCAACAACAAATTATAATAATCGTATGAATGCATTATTTTGGTCTGGACAACAACCAACAAATCAGTTGATCGATGAAAATTCTTTAACTACAACAAATAATAATAATAATTTAATTATTGGTTCCAATTCAGGATTTAATGCTCATTCAAATTCTATAGATATGAATACAATTGAATCCGGTGTATTTCATTCAATGAATGCTGTTTCTGCAGCTGCTTCTTCATGGTATGGTGTAGCAGCAGCTGCTGCTGCCGCGAATGATCCACGTTTAAATAATGAATATAATGAATATGGTAAGTTATGTGTTATAGGATGTTTTATTATTTTTGTTATATTTTCTGTTAGTTGAAATATTCAATAGTTTTGATATGTTAGTTGAATATTGACTAAAAGTATATTTGAAAATGTTTCGCAATCAAACATTCTACTGGTTTGTATGTTTCAAATATCTATTTAATGAGTTCCGTATAATCAAGATCAGTTTATTTTTATTCAAATAATATGAGTAGTGCTCAGTAATCTAGTTCAGTGAATTGTAGTTAAACAGTATAACATTGGAACTTTATTCAAACAATATTGAATGTGATGATTTTTTATCACGACTTTCTATCACTCATCGAATTGTCTGAAAACTAAAAAGTATTGAACTTCAGATCTTACACTGAATGCAAAAATTGTTCAGTTTTTGATTCAATACTCAATGGTTCGTTTCTCTAGAATCTACTAAATGTCTTGCTATCTTTGGTGAAATTTTCTAAAAACTGAAAAGTATTGAACTTCAAACATAAGTCTTTCAGATCTTACATTGATTCAATATTCAATGGTTCGTTTCTCAAGAATCTTCTAAATGCCTTGTTACCTTTGATCTAATCTGATTTGACGCTAATTGTGGCATTATAAAGTTTTCAAAAATTAATAAATAGGTAGTGAATAAGCATTTATTTAAAAGTACCCATGTTTAATAAAACTGCTCTCTAGTATCCTATTGGCATTCAAATACTTTTCCATTGATTATTGACTTATGATGTAAATTACAACAAATTACTTATAAACTATTCAACAAAACATTCTATCTTTTCTACTATGAATAGTATAAATCACAATCTTATTTTATAACAATGCAATTTAATTCACTGTACGTTGGATTGAATAGTCAATTCAAATAATATGAACTATGATATTTTTTTTCTAAAAAATTAAGCTGTTTACAATAGTATTCATGATTAGATTAAGAAAAGTATACAAAAAATACAGAAGAGAATCATTCATCCAGTTAGTTATTATTTTTTCTAACAATCTAATCGTTTACCCGCATTATTTAATTCATAAAATATTTTGAAATTTTTCTTTGAGATAAAAAAATATATATATTGATATTCGAAATCGAGAATGAAAACAATGAGTAAATTTTGAGATTTCTCTTCTTTTTTAAATTTTCGGTTAGAGTTTTGTAGATTGGTGTTTTACAGATTTGAAATCATCAATCAATCATTGTTAGAACACCATTAGAAACCTGGAAGCACTGGACGGCCGTTTCGTCCTGGTATGGGACTCATCAGCAGTGCACATACACAACTCCTGCACCTCACAGGATTCGAATTCGGGACCTTCGGCATTGTGCGCGAACGCCTAATCATTGGACCACTGGGCTTACACAATATCGAAGGTCCCGGGTTCGAATCCTGTGAGGTGCAGGAGTCGTGTATGCGCACTGCTGATGAGTCCCATACCAGGACGAAACGGCTTTCTAATGGTGTTCTAACAATGATTGATTGGTGAATTCTTTTTTATACCCTGAAAATAAAAAAGATGGGGATATCATTTAAAAATAAAAGAAACAATACAAGTCAACTTTATTACTCTTAATAATGAACCAAGTAAATGAATTAAGATCGACTGACCTCGCTAGAATTAATAATGTAATGTTAAGAAATTCATTCTAATGACACAATAACAAATTCTGTAATTAATCACTATTTTAAATCTGTATTATCGTCAGTTAGAGCTGGAAATCATCCCTTAATTGTCTATTAGCGACTCGACAGTTTGGATCAAGAGTACCACGGGCATAACAACTATTCAGCTGAAAAGCTTTTTTAAAATGAACTGAAAATGTCAATTTTCATTATAATAGTAGACTTCAAACAAGTAACCTCTTAGTTTTTTAATTTCCCCACTGACCTACGTATACTCATGCGTAGAGATTTACACTGAACTACTGTGTATTTTTTTGAATAAACATACAATCTTACAATGACGCAATCAGTTTTGGATTTTAATTTACGCTCACGTGACTATATATATGTATGTCTATGTTGTGTGAGCGTGCGAACCATGGATCAACATTTTGCCCGACAATATAAATAAAACATTCAAACAATTAAAATACTTGAGATACATGTAGTAAATAATTGATGTCATTAGAAAATCTAATTTTATTATTGTTAGAATAATTAATAATATTTTTATTTTGATTACAATTATTGTCATTATTAACGCACTACTCGTCACACTAACAAACAACAAATAATTAAGTACACAATGATAAGTACCTCTTAAAAAAAAAGACGATTTATGAATGAAAAAAAAAGAACAAATTAACTAAATTGTTACACTAGTTACCATGGTCATGAAAATAATATTAATCATAATGACAATCACAAGGAATGCGTAGAGGAAAAGTGAGAATACAAAAAAGATGAATGAAAAAAAAACAATCATTTTGGCATGGTTTTTTGAAGAATTACGTCATCTCACTATTGAGAAGAGAATTAATGGTCAACTAATTAGATTGATAATTGATCAAAGTAACAATTAATAAATTCAAACAAGTGAACTCATGAATAAAACATGGTGATATCACTTATAGCAATAGCAATAATGGACAGAGAGAGATGAACAAGCAAAATAAGAAGAAAAACACGATGAATGAAGATTCCAATTCATTATTTGGATCCTATGATAAGACTGCTCGAAAGTGCACATCCACAACTGAACTCCAAACATTCGATGTTGTAACCTTTAGACCATTAATCCTGAATGCAATGGTGCACATGTTTAACTTCAGTCAATTCACAATCCTAAGTAACCCGCAGCTAATACGGTTCAGTGATTAGTCGTTCGCATACATGACCGAGGGATCTATTTTTGATTTCCGGATGTGCGGTGGTGGATGTGCATTTCTGAGGAGTCTGATATTAGATAATGATAATTTAGTGATCATTTTGTAAATTGCATGTAGAGATGACTTTTCTTAACTAATTTGTAACGGTGCTCTTTTCTTCCATTTTATCATGTAAAAATATTACAGTTTCCCGTTTAATGGGTGTTACAAATGCTGCAATGGCTTGCAGTTATCCAGGACATTTAAGTCCATCTAGTTTCAATGGAACTGATGGCTTATTAAGTAATAATAATAATGATATTACTGGTCACAGTTCTAATGAATATTCAAATCCTCATTGTATTGCAAGAACGCGTAATACTAGTCCACGTTCATCTTCATCATCGTCAACTTCAGCAGTACTCGGTGGGACAAGTAATATACAAATACCTTCTGGAACAGGATCATACAATCATACAATTAATAATAATAATAGCAGATTTATGCGAGGAAGATATTCAAATAATTTATCATGTCATTCACCAATAAATACAGCACAATCAAATCATCGAATGGATTCATTAGATTATCATGATTCATCGATCAATACATTTCAAACGAATATTTCTAATAATAGTAACAATATTACTAGCAGTAGTAATAATGCTGCTGCTATGTTAGCCTATGAAAAGCATCAGAAAGCTGTTGCCGTTGCAGCTGCTGCCGCTGCAGCTGTTGCAGCCAATGCTGGCGGTAACGCCAGCGGTAATATTCATTCACAAATTAACCAGTATTCCTTAAATTCATATCCATTTAATTCTTCAATTAATTCACAATCATATCATCAACATCCACAGCCTCCACCTCTTACTCAACACCACCATCAATTACCACATATTCAAGGACAGACTGAGTGTGGTAGTAACAATCAAAGTGGTAATACAAATGGTCTTATTGGAGTTGGTGGTGGTGGCAATGGAGGAGTGTCAGTAGCAGCAGCGGCAGCAGCTGCAGTAGCTATGCATTCACTGCATAATGTTGCTGCTGTTGCAGCTGGTCATACTGGACATCCAATCAGTATGCATTCAGTTACAAATAATTTTCGTGGTTTATCACAACGTCGTAAACGTCGTGTATTATTTACTCAAGCTCAAGTGTATGAATTGGAAAGACGTTTTAAACAACAAAAATATTTATCTGCACCGGAAAGAGAACATTTATCACAGGTGATTAATTTAACACCAACACAGGTAATAAATAATTATTTTGTATTATATATTTATAATTAAATCCTAATATAATTTTAATTCAGGCGTATTAATTACAAATACATGGCTTGTCGATTGAAACATTTTTCAAAGATTGTATGATCTTTTATCGTAGAGTAATGGATATTGTTGTTTATTATTGAATCACCACTATTAGAAACCTAGAAGCACTGAAAGTACGTTTCGTCCTGGTATGGAACTTATCGGCAGTGCGTATCCACAACTTTTGCTACTTGCAGGATTCGTACCCAGAACTTTTGGTCTTGTGCACAAAATCCTAAACTCTGATTCATGTTGAACAGTTTTTAAGCAGTAATGGTGTAAGCATATTTGAACGTTGAATCAACATGATGATGTTAAATATCCGTATGGAATTCAAAAGTTCTGCTTCATATCACGTTATTACAAAGACATTATTATGTTCGGACTGTTTTTCTTAATTATTGAAATATTTGTAATGACAAATTGTTGATATGAAACATAGAGAAATTGGCAAATATTTTGTCTGACTTTAAAATTACCTCAAAACGTACACCTATATTCATAGGTGTACAGAGAATGTTGTCTAAATTCTGCTTCTCAGTCACTCAGTCAGCTACAACGTAAAGCTTCGTACATAAGTACATCAGTTCATGTTGCCATACCACATTAGCACAGAGACGCAATTGTCAATTGAAATCCCATAGTGATAGGGATAGCAGAAGTACAACTGGTTAAGAAGAAGATTAGGGTGCCAAGATATTATTGAAGAAGTATAATTCAGTGAGATAAGTTTAGAAAAACAAAGGTAGAAGTGCTGAAGAATCCAGAAGATAAGGATTTGAGAGAACACAAAAAATAAATGCACCGGCGCCACTACAAATGGTTTTGAGCCATGTTATTCAGGGTCTCTAACCATCGATGATTATCATCTTGCAAAACCCAACCAGGTAATCGACACCTATCGACATGACTCAGTCCACTTGTCAATGACTTCATGGATTGCAGCCATGTTTTGGTCTGGCCGCCCCTAACTTTCTTCCAACCTATTCCTACACTACAAAACAAAGCTCGTCGCGGCAGTCGGTGGTTGTGCATTCGTAACACATTTCCCGACCACCTCAACTGATGATGATTCAATACATCATCTAATAACCCGTCATTCTTACCTAGAACTCGTTTCCTAACGACAGCATTGCTCACTCGGTTGTCCCACGATACACGAGCAATGCAATTCCGTTTCTCACGAATTCCATTTTATTAAAGTCTTCAATAATCAATTGTCCTCAATAAGAAATGAAATATTTATACTCAACATAATTATTTATTTCGATAAAATCTGATTTGTGTAATCAAAGTATACTAGTGTAATCAGTGAAATATTCTGATATTTAGATTATATTAATTATATAATGATCTCAATTGAGGGAAATTATTGGAAAATTAATGTAGAATGTTGGATATGGAAATCCATACTGGATGCATAATACAATCAAACAGCTTCACAATATTCCTTGGTATTCAAATGTATCCTAATTGTTGATCAATCTATGAGTGAATATGTCTTGCAACATCAAATTACTCTCCTTTAATCCTTTTCAAATAAATAACACTCTTCTTATTATCATTATATTATTCTTATTCTTCATTACATTAAGGGATCTTTTTATCGTAGGTGTCTATTTTATTGATTTGATTTATTCTGATTTAAAAATTCTTTTTCTATATCAACAAGTTAAAACATGAACTAACTAAACTGTAATATGGATGTAGTATAACATGGAATTCTGTGAAATGTCAGTCATTTTTTTTACTAAATGAAAAAAAGAACCTAGAATATATACATACATATTCGATTTGATTGTTCATAGATTGATTATTCAATGAACACACCAGTTACTGCTTAATTCTTGTTATTTTTCTATGCATAAGAACTAGAAAATAGAATCTACTAGAATAAATTCATTTATTAGTATACATATAATGAAATCACAACTAATCGATATTTGTTCTATTGAATAAAAAAAGTGAATAATTGAAATTAGTAAAGTGTTATTTTATTCTACTTCAATAAATATTCAAAGTTATTTTGTATTGTGTAATGTAATTAACAATAATTAACTATATATATATGGTTTATTACAAAATAAATTAATTATATTAAAATTTCATAATCATATAAATTTATTAAATAATAATATAAAATTTAAAATGATCATAATTAATAAACAAAAAACACCCTTGAATCGTAGTATTCGGTATTATTTTGAAGCTCGTTAACTAGGTGCTCCAGTAATTTTGAAAGAATTTTTGAAATTCGTAGAATTCGATAAAAATGTTATTCAGTTTAGTTAGTGTAAATAATCTAAAGCATAGTTAATCGATTATTCTTTTTCTCAAAACTACATCACTTTTTACATAGTTAGAAAAGTTAATATCGTATGATGACATTTTTAATATAAATTACATTTGATTAAAAATCATTTTTAATAATTTAAAATTCATTTAACATGATTACTCACTCACGTCTGTCATCCCCAATGGAGCATAGGCCGCTGATCAGTATTCTCTAATCTATTCTGTCCTGGGTTTCCCTTTCCAGTTCTGTTCAATTTTTGTTCATTCTTTTCATGTCTGTATTTCTTGACCTTCCTCTTTTCCTTTTACATTGAGGGTTTCAAGGGAGGGCTTCTCTTGTGACGCAGTTGCGGGCTTTCCGCAACGCTTCTTCCTCATTTCCTCCTCCACTGGAATCTGGTTTGCTTTTTCTCACAGTAGATTGTTGCTGATGGTGTCTGGCCAATGAATGGGAAGTCTTTTGCGTAGACAATTGTTAATGAATACTTGAATCCTCCAAGTTTCCGCTCCGTATGGCAGAACTGTCTTGACATTTGCATTGAAAATCCTGTTTTTTTATTTGTTGACAGTCGTTTTGAGTTCCGGATGTTCTTCAATTGTTGTGTTGTTGTATCGCAGAATCTTGCTTTTCTCTTTGTGCATGTTGAAACCTGCTGCTGAGGCTACTGCTATACTGGTCGCCTTCTCTTGCATTTGTTGTTGCGTGTGGGAATGAAGTGCCAGATTACCCACGAAGTCCATATCGTCCAGGTTCATCCTGATTGTACACTGTATCCCATGTTTTCCTCCAGATGTTGGTGTCTTCATAAACCGGTCGATCACAGGATTAAGAGAAAGGGTGAGAGTAAGCAACCTTGCCTGACACCGGCCTTCACCTGAGATGAATCTGTCAGCTGTCCTGCGTGCACGATCTTGTAGTTTATTGTTTAACATGATAAGTTAAGATAAAAATTATCAACTTATACACGGATATTACAACTAATTTATAGTAAATTGCTTGTTATGTCATGTAATTGTAAAAATCAGTTGTAACGCAATTTTCAAACATTATTACACTAGTATAGTATAAATAATATTTAACTTTAAAAAGTAATTCTACTTGATATTTCAATCAATTATGGTTGAAGTCAAGTTGACAGTTAAGTTTCATGTTTCATATGAAACCTACATCGTATCTTAAAAAGTTACCTAGATGTTCATATTTTAAAAAAAATTGTAATCTTCAGCTTTTAACTCTGTCTATAAATCAGTTTTATCTTTTTCCGTTACAAGTATAGTTTATTTTCCAAAATAATTAATTTTGATTTAAATTATGGGTCGTGAATATGCATTGCTAATAAATCCCACAGTAAGACGAAACGAATGTCCAGTGCTTCTAGGTTTCTAATGTTAATAATCTAACATTGTTCAATTCACGATTTCGATAAAAAGTTTTTAGGTTTATTTTTCTAATTTGTCTTTTCTTTAAAAATCAATCATTTCAGGTGAAAATTTGGTTTCAAAATCATCGTTACAAATGTAAACGTGCACAAAAAGATAAAGAAACCGCATCAGTCAGTGATCAACATTCGACTACAACAAATATAATCGATTTAAGAAATGATTCAGTGCATTCCAATCATTTATCTATGCAAAATACACCATCAACAATAACATCAACATCATTATTTAATCGTAGATTAACACAAGATTTATTGGATAATCGTTTATTATCATCATCTAATAATAATAATATTAATAATAATAATAATAATAATAATGATATGAATATTATCAATCATCGTAAATTAAATCCAACTAATTTGACTGATCATCATTCAATTAATTCCGATTTATCAAATTGTTCCGAATCATTATCTATTGAAGAATATCATAATGATAATCATATGATACATTCATTAAATAATGAAAAATTACAATTACATAGTCCTGTTTTTATGCCAAAATTAAAACAAGCATGTCTTGATAATAGTGATTGTATTTCATCGTCTTTACATTGTACTAATGATAGAAATGATGTAAATTTAACAAAAAATTCAATTATGATGACACAATCATCACCAAATCGACTTCATTCACAGTTTTTAACAAATGATGCCCCAATTGAATTTTTTGGCTATAATGATTTATTACTGAATTCTAATTCTAATAATTGTACATTGAAAAAAGATAGATCAATGTTCAATTATCCAATAAATCATTTATCTTCAACACCAATACCTTTACCATCTAATCTTCAATTATCATATGAAAATAGAATTAATGAAAGTATATCACCAAAAAATAAATTGTCAGAAGTAACTAATTCTACTAATCCAATAAATACAAGTAATTATATGAATAATAATCCGTTTACACATTATCCATTTGCATCAAATACAAATTCTTATGCACAGTATAATACATCACCATCATATCTACAGAATTTTCTAACTAATACATATCGCACCAATAATAATTGTAATAATAATAATAATAATAATAATTCAATTGTTAGTTCTTGTTTAATGGATTCTAGTCCTCCAACGGATGATACTAACGATCATGTCCATAATCGAAATAATAATGAAAGGCTAATTGAATCAAATTTCATTGATATAAATAAATCATTGAATTTGCCCATAACAACCACATCGACATTACCAATATCATCAGCGTCATCATCATCCGGTTTAACATCCAGTCAATTAGCAGTTACCACATCTTCATTGACAAATTCGCATTCAGAATTTGATAAAAAGTCATCAATATTTCAATCAATGCATTCTATTACAACGTCAATGATTGAAACATTGAATAATAATAATAATACTAATGATATCAATAATAATAATACCATAACTGATCGATTAAACACTGAACGACAAAAGTTTTCAATTAAATCTGATGAAGATGAACAAATTTTAGATTATCATCATCACCATCATCATCATCATCAACAAGAAGAAGAAGAAGAGTTAATTAAACCAATGATTGATTGTATTACTTATAAGTCATTAATTTCTTTAGATAACAACAATAATATGACGTCTACTACCAATAGTACTAATAATAATAATGACAGAAATAATCATAATCGATATCCTGATTATACATCATTAGTTACAGGTGAATCAACAAGAATATAAAATGTTATCATGTAAAATATGTTCTATAATAATTTATATTAAACAATGTACCATAGTGTTGATATTGAATTTCATTTTTAAAACTTAAACATTGAACAAGTTCGAATTAAATTAAATTATTAAATTATTAAAACAATAATCCAAAGTGATACTTTTTAAAATTGTATAAAACACTATCATCATCATCAAACCATATGTTGGTTTGATGTTTTCTACAGTTCTAATACTATTTCATTTAAAATCGATATGTGACAAATTAAAAAAAAACAATTTTCCATAAATTTATTCTTTTATCTTAAATTCAAATAAAATTAGCCAAATTTGAAAAAAAGCACTGAATAACATTTCTTTAAATTTTACCTCATATATTTGGAAAGAAAAAATAAGCGTTATTGAACATTTATTTTCAATGATTGTTAGTTACACTTATTGATGTAATAAAACATAATAATTTCTTTATATCTAATGACATTTTTGTTTTCACAGTTACAATGAATATTTTTTAAATCTCGATTGGAATGATTGTTAGTAGTTCAAAAATAATTTTGAAAAAAAAATGAAATATCAGTTAGACAGCATATATATATGGTGGTTATAGAGTATAATGCATACTGCATATATAAATTTTGGATTGTAGTATACACATATTCTGAATCTTATGATTTGAACTCATTCTTTGAAGTAGGCAATTCGATTAGTCTGAAGGATATATGACTTCTTTCGAATTCATGGAGTTTCTTAGTGCACAACGTTAGAAAACAGGTTAAAGACTAATCAAGTATAGAGATTATTCTTTATTTAGACGTGATAAAAAGAATTATTTCAGTAGTAACAGTAGTGGTAGTAGTAGTAGTATAAGTAGTAGTTGTAGTAGTAATAGTAGTATTCACATATATAATAATTAATACTGCAGTATATTAACGGATGGCTTAGCCTTCGAGCTTTAATTGTTCTTATGAACAACATTAGATTTTTTCCACCACCTCATTGTGATGCTACTATGTTTAGCGAAAAGTGCCAAATGGATGGGCAATCAGTTTTGCAATCTACAAGTTGAAATTGATTACTCTAATCAGTACACAACTATCATATATATTTAGCCAGTACTACAATAAGACAGTTTCATCTGTGACTATACAAACAATGCTATCATAAATCTGCCAAGTATATTTAAACCATAAAATATGAAGATTGTCAAATTATTATTTTTCCTTGTTGAACTGATAGTGCATCTTCGTATCCTTACTTGAGTCATCCTATTCTCGGTTTTCTAGGACTAAGCTAGATAAGAATTTCTATAAACATAACAGAAAAAATTATGAAGACTGTCACGAATTCCAAAATAAAACAGTACCGAGATGTTAAAAACATCAGCTGATTTGAAATAAAAAAATAAAACTAGCCAATAATTTTTTACAAGAAACCTTTTTTGGTTGGCCGAATGTGTGAGAACAGTGTTATTGATTATTCATTGTGATGATGGAACCACTTAAGAAAAGCAACAACAAAAAAATTAATTAATCGCTGAAGGCAATAATCAAGAATTTCGGTTTATATGATCCACAACATTGTACATTGAATCGAGAAGACAAAAACTGTTTTCTACGTATGTTTCAATGTTTGCCACAGTACATATAACTAACAGCTTGTGAATTGATCCCTTAAGCGAATTTTTTTTTTAATTATCTATTTTATATAATTTTAAATTTGAAGATATTAATTCTGACGAATAAAAAAATCCACTTCAACTTAGTTGAAGTGGAACGGTAACTATTCAATTAATTCATTTATAACTGCTTAATCTTCGTTATTTCTTTCTTTCGAAATCGTCTTTAACATTTTTATCCTGTAGGAACATAGAAACCTATACTCATTCTGTATATATATATATATATATATATATATATATATATATATATATATATATATATATATAACCCCCTACTGACCACTTAAAGTTTATTCTTAAATAACAATAAAATGAATGAATAACAACAAATACACGCATATAATAAAAATAGTGAATTTCTGTTATTTGTAAATAAGTAGTTAATAGCATAGTTTTATACTTTAACTATTATATATTAATTAGTTTTAACTGATTAGCCGAACCATGATAATAGGAAGAAAGAAAATTTTTCTTTTTTAAATTTGTACTCATGAATTATTTTGAGATTCATAGATGACTATTGGATAAACGAATGAATGAATGATTGGATATATAGATATATGCATTACGGGGTTGTGAAGATTGTTAAGTTACACATTTTTTGAAACCATGAATCGATCAATGTTAGACCACCATTAGAAACCTGGAAGCACTGGACGGTCGTTTCGTCCTGGTATGGGACTCCTCAGCAGTGCACATCCACGACTCCTGCACCTTACAGGAGTCGAACCCGGGAACTTCGGTATTGTGCGCGAACGCCTAACCATCGGACCACTGAGCCGGTATCTAACGGTGTTAATGTCTAACTTGATCAATTCACGGAGTTGCGCAACCTCATACACAGTCTTCTGTAGTTACTGTCTACGCCCGAACAGGTTGAACTTCACTGGTCACGTCTTCCCCTTTAGAACTCGTAGAAGATTCTTCACGAAGCTTGTCACTAGTGAGCACAGGTAATTTGCATTACAGGGCAGTGAAGATTGTGAAGTTACATATTTTGGTCGTCCAGTGCTTCCAGGTTTCTAAAGCTGTTCTAACATTGATCGATTCATGGTTTCAAATATATATATATATTAGAATACATCAGCATCTGGTTGTATATTGAGGCTTATTGATCAGTTTTTTACTACAACCTTGTTGATGTGGTGTTGATTGTAGTTTTTTGCAGGTTTATTGATTATGCTGTTGTTGTTGATGGTGATGATGAGGAGGAGGATGACAACGTTCCTTTTCTACTGAAATGAATTGTTTTTTTTCAGACAAGCCAGAACATAATAGTATTTCTAAGAATAAATAAGCGATTAGAATCATCAAGCCAACAAATTCGTAACAAGTGCAGAGAAGAGAAACAAGCTGCAGAATGAGGGAACTATTAGCAAATAACTATGAATAAGTTTTAATTTATATTCTGAACTATGATACTGTAAGTTGGAAAACATCATTGTTCGTTATGTGAGCTCACAAGAGTGAGAGAGAGATCGAAAGAAACCAGTTTAAGTAGTTACTAGTTCAAATTTTTTGAATATTTACTTTTATTCAAGTTGCATCGCTCAAAATAATTTCTAAATTATCCATTTCATTTAAAGTATGCTATTCAGTAGCAGCAGATGTAGTATAAAGTAAATAACATACTCAATAGATAATGTAAAGGTTGAGGTTACCAGGACAAGCTACAAGTCGAACATGGTAAAATGCTAATACTTCACTTCTATTCAAAGTTTGTGCTAACGATGTTGTTCAGAAGGACAGTGAAAGCTCCACAACCGAAACATCCCGCTCAGAAAACGAAACACCGTCACAAGCTAATCAGTAGAGAACAGAAAAATTAATTAATTCTTTAAAGGTAAACCAGTTTTAAGGATTACTTTGTGACTTTTTAGCACTACCCTCTTAAGCCTATTCATCTCTAAATCCAATATAAGATCTTAACAAACCCTACGAATACTTTAGCAAATAATATAGTCGTTAAACTGATTGAACTCCAAGAATCTCCTCATAAAGCCAATCACCGGTGAGCATACGATAATTATCATCATAGGGTTGTCGACATTGTTGAGTTTAATTGAAGTCATATGATGAAAAATTAATAATTTCCAAACTGACCAGGTTTCAGACAAAATACACCGTTTAAATTTGTTGGGGACGTTAGATCCTCATAACTCACTTGATAAGGGTTCTAATTTTGGATTTTATGTTTTAGTGCATGTGCCGATCAGTTGACCTTGAGACTGCATTTCCGACCCGGAAAATCCTTGGCGTTTATTGGTTGATGTATTATTTTAGTACGCTACTTTTGTGGCTCTCTCAAAGACTTTTCTATGATGTGTAAATAAACTCGATTTGTGTACTTGGGGACCTCATATTTTCTCGGTGCTTGTAGAACACACTTTCTACGCCATATCAAGACTTCTTCTTCTACTTAGTGGGGCCTTGGGATTATCGGATTAGAGTGGCATATCGTATCCCTGGATCATTTGTCTTCGCTGTCGTTTACCGACTAAGGTTAACTTGTAATAGTTCAAGCATATTAACTGATGAGCATAACAATATGATATCATGACAGTTAGGGATTGTTTGTAATATAAAATACAAATTGATTTATTGTATTGAATGTAAGTAACTTTATATACACACAACTTAATCTTCCACTAAACATATGATCAGATTTGTTATTGCATTATTAGTTCTTTGACTCTGTCCGCTTCATACATATTCTTTTATTATTGATATCTCAGTTTCATTTTAAATAATAAACTTATTCAAGTTAACACGATGTACGAAACATTTTAACATTAATAATTTTATTTTATGCCATAAACAATCCAAAATTCACATGCTCTAATTTTATGCGATGTATTTTGCTTGAAATGTGGCTATTTTTTAGGGAATATTAATTTGGCATATTAAATTCTAAGATCTGAAGAGAATTTTTTTTGAAAGGAATTTACTTCGCTCTTATATGTGTTTTAATTTGGTGGGAATTTTTCAGCTACGGGATATTTTTATTTTTGAACAACCTTATAGAATCTGTCTTACAGATCAACGCAGAACTTCGTACGTACGTACATCAGTACAAGTTGCCATATCGCATCAGCGCAGAGACGCAACTTTCTGTTCAAATCCAACAGTGACAGCGATATAAAAAGTATTAGCAGCAATGGAGAATATTAGGGGGCCAAGATATGATTCGAGAAGAATAATTCAGTGAGATAAATTTAGAAAGAGAAAGACATAGATGATGAGGAATTTAGAAGGTTAGAATTTGAGAGAACGAGAAGAGTGGATGCACTTGCGCCATTGCAAATGATTTTTAGTCATGTCGTTCAAGGTG